TTGTTGTCTTAACAACAACATTTAAATTGTTGTTGTTGTTAGCTGTTGTGCCGCCTGAGCGAGTCGCGAGTCGCGAGTCGCGAGTAACGAGTAAATTCAATGCAAGGGGATTGAATTTGATGCCAAAATTGCGTAAGTTGGCTTGCAGCAGGGAAGGGGGGTCGGGGAGTGGGGAATGGGGAAAGGGAAAGGGAAAGGGGGACCGAAAAGATGTCTCTATTTTTGCGTTGACGCTTGATTTATAACGGTGGAAAATCGTTTAAACAACATCAAAACGCAAAATACAATTTTTGTAGGCCACGTTAATAAGCGCAACATAACGAACATAATATCTTAACTTGGTCATCAGCCGCACAACAAAAGAAAAGGCATATTTTACAACAACAGCAACAGCAACAGCAACAGCAGCAGCAGCAGCCATTCGATTACATAAGAGACCCACACTGAGATGCATACTCAAAGTCGCAGCACTCGTAGGGGCCGTCGAAAAGAAAATAGTCAAAGCATTGTTGGATAAAAACAAAATGAAAACGCAAAGGAAAAAGAAAAAGAAAAAGAAAAAGAGGTGAACTGAGCAATGCCGTTAACGTTACACCCTGGGCTCAACAAGTTGTACAAGAGGGTATATAAAAGTGTGCAGATAGAGGGTTATACTAATCGATACAAAGATAGATATATTATATATATATATGTAAGTGAAAAAATAAATAGATGGATCAACGTCTAGCTACATATGCATTAATATGAATCTCTTTATCACACAATACAATCTACGTTTAATGTTTTCTAGAATTCCCATTTCTAATTGATATTGGATTAATTGATAAATATTAGTTTATATATAGTGACAAAAAATGGGAAACAGTTTTAATTTCAGTTAATCAACAATTCGTTCACTAATATTCAAAAATAAATCAAATAAAAAGTTTTATTTATTTACGAATAAAGCAATTTATTTAGTTTCTCGGCTCAAATCAATGGCTTGGTAGCAGCTAATGCAACATCACTAGATCACATATTATCTTATCATCCCTTAAACCGAATCTATTCTTTTTAACTAAACCATGTTATAGGATAATATAATATCGTGTCGATGGTGTATATCAAGTGAGTCAGTCAGTTTAGTCAAATACACAGTCAATTGAAAAAAGTTGAATTTTTATAATAAATATATATAAATGAGTATCTATAAGTCGTTCCTTTCGGACTAGAGCAGCCTTATTAGTTGTTGTTGTTGCTGGATGCTTGACGATCTCGTTGTTGTTGCTTGTTGCTAGCTGCTGCTGCTGCTGCTGTTGGTAGATAGCAAAAGTCAGCGGCATAGAAAGTGAAACCACGATTGCCGCAGCATTTGGCCACACGATCAACGCTGCTGGTGGTAGTGGTGGTGGTGCTGCTGCTGCTGTAGTCGAGTCAAGAGGGGTCCGAGATTTGGCTTGGCTTTAAATATAAGCCAAACAGCTCCAGCAACAACAACAACAGCAACAAACTATTACTCAATCTGTGCTAAAAAAAAGATAGACCGATAGATGCATAGATGTAAAGCTGGCTTGAATTGCTGTTTGTGTTGTTGTTGTTGTTGTTGTTATTGCTGTTGTTATTGGTATTGGTATTGGTATTGCTAGCTTCAAATGCAAGAAAATAAAAATGAAGTAACCCACTTTTTTCCGGTATAGTTTTTTCCATTGTTGCTGCTGTTGCTGCTGCTGCTGAGGCATAAAAAGAAGACAACAACAACAAATATGTGTAACTGAAACTAAAATGCGAAAAATGTATGAAATGAATGCGTAAAAAGGGGATGCTGCATTGAATGCTGTTGCCCAAAATTGAAGCATTTATAAATAGCAGTTACAGCTGAAAAAGAAAAACTATTAAAGCTGATTACAGCCCCAAAGTCTATAATATAATAAGTTAAACAATAAAATGAAATATATATAAATTTATATATGTGTATATATACATATATACACATATATGTTCAACCTTTATTTAATACAATATCTGTACATGATTGTAATAGATTGATAAGGCAATGGAAAAAATGTTCACACAACGGGGATGTAGCTCAGTGGTAGAGCGCTCGCTTTGCATGTGAGAGGCCCCGGGTTCAATCCCCGGCATCTCCAGTTGCATTTTTTTCTGTCTTTTTTATTTTTTATTTTTTTTTTTCTATTTTTTAAAAGTATTTCAAACAACTAAAACACGTGCAAGCATGCTTGCTTAAGAGTTGCAAATATTCAGTCTGGAAAATAATTAATTCAATCATTTTGGTCTTTATTCCACATAAATAAATATAAACTCAAAATGAAAAACGTACAACGAAAACTGAAATGAAAAAATTGAAAATATGCAAACATAATTTATGCGCCGCTTGTTGCAAATTTATCACTTGGCACTCATAACTCATACACCGTGTGGTGCGCGCTCTTGGCGCCTAGTTGAGCAGTAATTGTGCGTCAATTTGTTGGCACGGCATGTGGCAGGATGTAACAGATGGGCTTGCCACAAGCAGCACGAAGCGATGCACTTCTTACAGCGCGGCAGTCGCTTTCACCTATCTCAGCGGATTAGAACCCTTTTCAAAGTCGTGTCACATTTTGACATTGTGGCTTGCAGCTACCGTTGCAAGGGGAGCAGGGGTGTGACAGACACCCACACCGATAATTTCTCTTTTTTATTTTTATTTTTGTACTCTTTTTGGAGGCTGCAATTAGCTGTCATCAATCAATGTTCCCAACAATGCAGCTATCCAAGAGCAGCTGTAAACTGCCGTGGGGAAGAGGTGGGGCCCATAAAAGTGGGGTAAAGGGCAGCCTAGACAAATTGAACGCACACAGCTCAAATGAAAGTTGAAGTTTTTTATACAAGTTTTTTGTTTTTGGGCCTAAGGTCTCCAAAAAGAGCTTAGCCCAAAAGTTTTTAAGTGATTATCTGCCCAGGCCGCGAAATGCGCTGCAGTGGCTCTCTTGTTGCTGCTGTTTGACTTTCACTGCGCATTAATTTGTCTTTTTAGTTGCATTAATTTTGCTGCTTGTCGCTTATAAATTTGCTCTTCGTTTCGGGTTTGTCTTACTGTCAAATTGTGTCAACGCGCACTAAGCAACCGCCGTCTTGACAATTGTCTGGGCATCACACACACACCCATACACACACAGAGAGGGGCACACACATGGCCCCAAACAGCAGCCGTGCCAACCTCTGATGTTGCCCTGTGGGGCAAAACTGTCCCGCCTGCCAGCCCATACATTGCCCTGTCACTATCGCCGTCCCATCTGCAGACAGACGACCCCAGCCCCGCTGTTGCATATTTTGTGAGTGCTTTGCCGCCTAAATATGGCAGACATTTAATTTGCAGCGTTTTGTGTTTTTGGCAAGCTGCTTTTGGCCACATCTAGCCACAGCAGCCGCCCTTCTGGCTCTGGCCAATTGCAATTGGCCAAAGCAAAGATGTTGCATCTGCCCATACACTTGAAATACCACAAAGGGAACTTCCCCAAGCAAATATTGCTTTCTAATAGGAAGGCAATAATATCACAAGAAAACCCAAAATGGGTTTCTGTGAAATTATAAAATATTAAAATGATTTGGAAAACATAAAATTTAAAAACAAACGAGTTGCGAAATCTGTTATTTCGAAAACCTCATAAGAAATATGAATATAAGTATATATCTATTCATATATATTCACATAGCTGGTGGAAACTCCAATGATACGTCCATACATACAAATTCAGTGCTGAAGAATAACAACAGTACACATATTTGCCTAATAAAATAAATATATTATAATAAATATCCGAAATGGGCTCACAATATATTTTACTTGAATAAAAAAGATTTTCAAATATTATCAGATGATATTCTCTGGAATAAAATTATTCAATATAAGTTTTGATTATATGTTTTGTTTTTTCTTTTAATTGCTGTTTTTATTTGCAATCTGCAATCTTATCTTAGATGATTATATGTAAGATCAAATTCATGAAATTACATTGAGTCTCGCAGAAAATATAAATCAGAGCTGCGAAATATTTTTTTCTGGTTGAGAGAAATATATTCAAGCACAGCGTATTCCTATATAAGAATTGCCCCTTTAATTCAATAAAAAAGAAGTGTGTTTTCTATACAAATTTTATTAAAAATTTATTTATATTTGCTTTACAGTGTGTTTTGTTTCTTTGTCGTTTAATTTATAATTTAAAAATGAGAACATTGCGTTGGCCTTACAAATTAATAGCATTTTCATCTAATACGCTTCTAAACAATTATCTGTTTTCCTCTCAGCTTATTTTGTTTTGTTGTCGTTATTTTGTTTTCATTATATGTAAGCATTCTCATTAAATTTGCTAGGTAACAATAATTATACACATTTATATTAATTAATTAATTGTTTTGGGTTTTTCTCTTTATCCTGTGCAACGAAAAGCAGTGGAAATTGTTTAAAGCTTAAAGCTAAAGATTTGCTAATAAAACGATCTCGTTTTGTTGTTACTGTTGCTTCTAGACAACTAAAGCGGGGTGTGGCAGGGGCAATCAGAAGCATAGCGCAAGCTGCACACCAAGTGTTTTTGTTGTTGTTGTTCTTAGTTTATTTAAATAGATTTACATAAATAGGTATTTTGTGTGTGGATTTTCATTTGTTTTTGTTTTTGTTTTGTATTTTTTGTTTTCTTTCCTGCTTGCTTTATTTATACACATATACATATACATTCTGCAGTATATTGTTTTTATTTTGTTTTTTTTTTATATTTATATATATATATATATAAATATTTTAACATTTTCTTTTCTTTGGCTTAACTTATGCATACTATGTTATATAATTTGTATCAAAATGTACAAAAGTATTTTACAATTTATTAAAATTAAGTACAAAATATAAGAAGCATTAATAACAAACACACAGTATAAGAAACTCCCAGCCAAAATAATGTACAATAGAAGGAATGCCAAAGGCAGCGAGAAAAGTATTAAAGTGTAGAAGTAGAAGTGGACGTAGAAGTAGTAGAAGTTTAAATAGAAGTAGTAGCAGTTGTAATAGACGAGTAGAAAAGTTAACAAATTAAAACTTATACGAGTCAGGTAAAAGATATGGGCAAAAGCGAAACAACTCGTGCCTTTGTGGCCTACATACAATTCTTTGATTGGATACAATGCAAGTCATGCTTGGCTTGTTGCTGTTGGTTTTTTTGTATGTGCAGCCCTAACATCCTTAAGCTTATACGCTACCCACACAGCTTTATTTGAGTCACACACACACACGCACATTCCCATTCACACTAATTTACAGGCTCTGTTCACAGTCGCTCTCGCGCTCTCCTCTCCTTCTCTCCCTCTTTCGTTCGTTCATTCGTTCGTTCAGTTTGTTCATCACAGCTACAGCGACTGCTACAGCTACAGCGCATGTTCGTTCGTATTGAGAAAGCTGCGGCAGACGCGACTCACTTCGGGGTTCGTGTGATTCATAAGCTGCATGTAAATCTGCTTGTGGAGTGAAAGCTCATTGGTCATCTCGCTCAGCTGACGCAGTAACGCATCCTTCTCCTTGAGCAGCGACTTGACGCGCTCCTCCACCTCTTTGGAGCGCACCTTTGCCTTCTCGCGGCTCTTGCGTACGGCAATATTGTTGCGTTCGCGTCTTCGTCGATACTCCTCGGTGCCCTTGTCCACATGCTTGTTGCTGTGCTTGCGATGCTGCTGCTGAGCGTGCTGCTGCTGCTGGGCGTGGTGCTGCTGCGACTGTTGCAGCTTTGTGTGATGCTTAAGCAGTTGCTGTGCGTTGGCCGCCAGATGCGGCAGATTGTGATGTGCCAGGACATTCGCCGTGGTCAGATTGGTGAATTGCGTCGAGTTCGTTGAGCTGTTGTTATTGCTGTTGTTGCTGCTGTTACTGCTATTGTTGCTGCTACTGTTGTTGTTGTTGCTGCCACTTAGTGCGTTGCTCTGATACGCATTATAGAGGCCATTGCTGTTGTTAATGAAAGCCGCTGCTGCCTGGTTGCTGACCGATTCCTGCAAGTGCCTACGATACTCCGGATCGATAGGCTCCTCCTTGATCGTGCTGCTCGAGTCGCTGCCAACGGAACTGTTCTCGTCGCTCGAGTGATTGTTGTACGTGGCATTCGAGTGTACCGCCTGTGGCATATACGCCAGCGCCGCCCTGCCATAGGAGTGCTGTTGCTGCCTCGCATTAGCCAGCGTCTGCTGTTGCTGCTGCAGCACCTTAGCTGCTGCACTGACCATGCCACTCGGTGGCAGCGTTGCAGACAGTCCACCCGGACTTGTCACCATATCGCTGAATATGCCCAGAGTTTCCGTATCCCGAAACTGATCATCGATCAGATGTTGCAAGTCCAACGTTATCTCCTGTGTGGTCAGCTCGTCCAGATCTGTTTGTGTGCTGTATTGCTGCAGCATTTGTTTCTGCAACAAATTGTTGTTGTTGTTGTTGTTGGTTAGATGCATTTGCTGCATGGCATGCTGCTTGACCAGCAAGGCCGCATCCTGAATTGTTGCATTGTTGTTGGCATCAGTTGTCACCTGTTGCTGCTGCTGTTGCTGTTGTTGCTGCTGCTGCTGCTGTTGTTGCTGTTGCTGCTGTTGCTGCTGTGCACTGGACATCGCCGTCAGTGTGATTTGACCGATTGTCGCCTGCTGCGGCAGCGGCTGCGGCTGCTTCTTCAAGTCGAGCTGCGCCAACGTTTGCACCGCATCCGCGTACATCTGAGGCGATTCCATGTTCAGCATTTTGAGTTGCGCGAATGAGGGTAAAATTTTGATGCCTTTTCTTTTAGGATCCTATTTGCAAAGGGGCGAGGGGCGGGGTGGGTTGAATAAAACTCAGCTAAATATCCCTTTAGCAAGCGCTAAATCATTTTATTTTTATTTCTTTTTGTTTTGAGGTAAACTGTTCTTTGGAAATGTTTGCAGCGATATCGTCAATTTTTGTATTTAGAAATAATAGTTTTTTTATTCGAAATTGTTTACATTTTTTATTTTTATAAAACTTCACTTAACTTCCTTTGAAGTCACTTTTTAATACATTTTTCTTTAAAAATTAGCACATTTTTTGCTTTAAATAAACTTTTAGTTTTTTGTTTGTTTTAATAGAAACCGCTTCAAATTATCACTGCAGTTGCGCGCACTGCTTCTTGTATTGTTTTTGTTGCTGCACTTTGGTTTGTTGTTGTTGTTATTGTCGCGTAAAGTGTTGCCTCCACGCACGCGATTCAGCGACTGAAGTGTTTCAGCAATGATGCAACAGATTTTATATGCGAGTATTTCTTTATTTACAAGTCGTATGCGCTGGCGTCGACGCTAACGCTGACGCTGCTGTTGTCGTCGACGCGGACGCTTTGTATTAGAAGGTAGCTCCTGAAGAACCGTTATGCGCTCTGAGATATGTGAGCTTTTCAGTGTGTGCCCGTTGCGCGTTCGCGTCCGCTGCTTACAATTGGTAAATTGTAACTGTGACAAAAGTCTTTAGCGCAGCAGCAGCGCAAAGAAAATGAGACGCAAACACAGCAGCGACGCCAACAGCGACACCAGCAGCGGCCGAAAAAAAGCAGCGCCAAAAACAACAACAGCAGCAAGAAGCAACTAAGGCACACAGTCTTGTACGCACACACTGGCAAAGAGAGCACAGCGCTATAAAAGCCCCAAAATGACTTCGTCGTCTGCGCCGCTGACTGCGCTGCGCTGCGCTGTTTTTACAGCAACTACCTGTGGATGGTGGTGGTGGTCAGGCCAAAGCGCAACACACATACACATACACAGAAAGAGAAGGAGAGTGAGAGGGTGAGCAAGAGGGAGTGGAAGAGAGAGCGCACAATTGAGAGCGCAAAAGAGCCGAACAAGCAAACGATCGACAGGCAAAAGCAAAAGTTTTTCCCAATCACTTTTACTCTCAACGAAACGCCAAAATCAACAGTAGCAGCAACAACAACACGACTGGCCGACCACTGCAAGGCAGTTCACTTAGCGTGCAAGTTGTTGGTTTTGTTGTAGCTTTTAGCTTTATCTGCGACTGTGCGATGAATAAAGTCAAAGAGCTGTGTTAAAAAAGGTTGCTATACAAACTTGGCTCTGCTGTGATGATTAAAAGAACTGTTATTATTATTAGATTCGTAAGAATAGAATGTTTCATTTACTTTTTTTGAAAATATTTCCTTACTTCAACTTTTGGTGATTTAATTCACTCAAGAAATTTCATAACAATATTGAAAATAAATCTGATTCTATGACAATGCGAGTAAATAAAGTTGTGGGAAGCTCCTGATTCATATATATTGATATATTTATTCTTCTGAGTTTTTACTAGAGCTAACCATTCAATCAGCTGATTCGATTGCGTATGCACAAAGACAGAGCAGTTAGACTTACGATAACTTTCTGACGTCAACACAGAGCAGTCAGCCAAAGAGACGTACACACAAACAACGGCGCTGCCGCCGACGTTGCGACGTCACGACGTCACGCCGCTGCTGCCGAAACCACTTCGAATTCGTCTACGCTGGCTTTCGTTTTCGCTTGCTTTTGGGAGAGCAGTCGGGGAGCCGCAGCAACTGCAGCGACACAAGAGTAAAAAGAACAGCAACACCAACAACAATCACAGGCAGCACCACGCCCGCATCAGAGCCGGCTACGCACGCACACACTGACAAGCTTCCCGCGTTACCATGCCCCACAGTCCACCCACCCAATGAAAAGCACGTCTGCCTTGCGCACTTTGATTTGTATTTAGGCTGCCTGCTGCTTAGAAGAAAATAAAGCTAAACGCTTTTGCTGCACTGCTCTTTGCTGCGCATGCGTGACTGAGCGCAAAAGAGAGCGTTAGGTGTGAGCGCGGGCGGGGAGCTTATGTCTGAGCTTTCACGTAACATAATGTTGTTGTTGCCGTTGCTGTTATAAATTTAAATAAAAAGTCTGTTATGAAATTCATAAAAATTAGCACGCTTCGTAGATTTGTTGATTTAAATGCAGCGATTTGTAAAAGTCGTAGCTTGCTCTCACTTACCCCAGTCGTCTACCCACCCTACCCGCGGCTCTTCCATTCTCGCTCGCTCTCTCTGTCTCTCTCTCTCTCGCTCTCACTCTCGCTTTCAAGCTGCCTTTATTTGGGTCAAGTTGTGTGGCGTTTTTTAAGGTGTGCGTAGCTGTAGCTTTACCGTTTGTTTATACTTATACTTAAACAATTACTCACACGCAGCGTGAGCATATGCACGATAAGCGTTCATTGCAGCCAACGAGGCGGGCGGGCCAGTCGGGCTTATCAGTCACATCAGCTATCACTGATTGATAATCGAGCGAGAGCTATCGATATCGATGACTACACTGCGCGAATTGTGCAAGCTTTGGTCGCTTCCTTGTTCGTCGCATTGCAAACATTGCAACAGTTGGTTGCAACGCTCCTTTGTGTATTCTTACAACATGTCGATTTACCAATTGCCATCTATTGATAAGAGTATCTTTTTAATGCAAAACGAAGCACAGCTGAGGCAATGCACACGCACACACTCGCAAGTTAGTTGCTACCAACATTCTTCCAGCAATGCATTAACAATTATTATTATTATTTGACGTTTGTTGTTTGGCATATGACTGATAAGAAAAGAGAAAAAATTAACAACGCGTGCGCGCTAAAACAAAAATAAATATCAATAAAATAATATGCAGCAAAAAGAACAACAAATGCCAATGAAAAATATGACTTAAGTCGAGCGTTCATTGCACTCGGCCAAAACAAAACGTTGACTTGGCTGACACAGACCAAAATCAATTTAACTTTATAAACAGGGCCACAACATATTCAATGATTGGATTCAAAGTTCATTTAAAGTAATTCTAGAATGCCAAAATGTTAACATATATAAAAAAGAATGAAACAACCAACCAAAAGCAAAATCAAAAGGAAGAAAAGGGCGTAAAACCGAGAAGGGAGACGAAGACGGAGACTGAGACGGAGGACGGAGACGGAGACGGAGACGGAGACGGAGACGGAGACGGAGACGGAGAACGGAGACGTGAGACGGAGACGGAGACGGAGACGGAGACGGAGACGGAGACGGAGACGGAGACGGAGACGGAGACGGAGACGGAGACGGAGACGGAGACGGAGACGGAGACGGAGTACGGAGAGGAGACGGAGACGGAGACGGAGAGGAGACGGAGACGGAGACGGAGACGGAGACGGAGACGGAGACGGAGACGGAGACTTATACTTATACTTATACTTATACTTATACTTATACTTATACTTATACTTATACTTATACTTATACTTATACTTATACTTATACTTATACTTATACTTATACTTATACTTATACTTATACTTATACTTATACTTATACTTATACTTATACTTATACTTATACTTATACTTATACTTATACTTATACTTATACTTATCTTATACTTATACTTATACTTATACTTATACTTATACTTATACTTATACTTATACTTATACTTATACTTATACTTATACTTATACTTATACTTATACTTATACTTATACTTATACTTATACTTATACTTATACTTATACTTATACTTATACTTATACTTATACTTATACTTATACTTATACTTATACTTATACTTATACTTATACTTATACTTATACTTATACTTATACTTATACTTATGCTTATACTTATACTTATACTTATACTTATACTTATACTTATACTTATACTTATACTTATACTTATACTTATACTTATACTTATACTTATACTTATACTTATACTTATACTTATACTTATACTTATACTTATACTTATACTTATACTTATACTTATACTTATACTTATACTTATACTTATACTTATACTTATACTTATACTTATACTTATACTTATACTAATGGGCAAACCAAATTATGAAATGGAATGAGCTATGAAACAAACTGTTGGGTTAATAATGCGTATGGAATATGGGAATATAGATTGGAAATATCAAATCTCCAGGTCGTACAGATCGTTCCGTTTATATAACAGATAGACGGACACATCGACGGACATTGCTAAGTCGACTCAGCATTGGCACATAGAATGGGGACTGCCAAGCCTCTTTTTATTTTCACAATCTATATCACAGAGCATCTGTCAGTCAGGCACACACTTAGCTAATATATGGTAGAATTTTAGCTACTTTTCAGCTGTTGTAGGCAACTTTTTTTTGTTTTCTATTCAGGTTCTGTGTTTTGTTTTTGTTTGGTTCTTTGGGGTCGTCAGTTAGTCACCGATAAGAGTCACGCTGCGCCGCAACGATGGTTACTTCCTTAAATTGGAACTCGTCGCATTGAACCCGATCGTACGGTGCGATCGTACGAGAGTATCGCATATCTAGAGCTGTCAAAATTCTCACGGCTCTGCTACTGGATGACTTTCAATTGAAAATCGTTTTTCGATTTGATTTGCGGCGAACTTTTCGCCGAAACGAGCGACCAGCGAGCCAACTTTCATTCGCGAATTCGCGTAAAATCAGCATTAAATATTCCCCGTCATCAGGTTGAGAGCCACGGGAATGGGTTCTATGCCTTCTATGGAAGCACTGCAAATGCAAAAAACACAAAATGCCACACAGAGTTCGACGAACTTTAACAATAAATGGTGTTAACTACTCTATAATTAAGTGGAAATTCGTCGATTTGAATGGAAATTCATTTTGATCATTTCTGGCAAATTTTTCTCAAATTGATTATGAGAAAAGTTTTAAATGAATAAACTAATTATTTCTTTTTAACATTTATTACATAATTAAGTTCTGTAAGGAGCAAAAGTAAATTTCGTTTTAGTAAAGATATTCTTATTAGAATACAAATAAATTTTAGAAACTCACCAGATTTAAAGAAATAGTTTATTCACTAGAAATGCGCTGTTAAAGCAGCCAGAGATGGCAAAATAAAGCGCCACCTACAGTTCAGTGTTCGCCAGTTGAAAATTACCAAGCAGATCACAAGCAGTTAACTTTGCACTGCTTACATTACTAGTCTTATGC